GGTGGCTTTATGACTCATTTACTACCTATCATTCATTTTAATGATTAAATAAATGTGTTTGTGTTGAATTCTAAAATATCAAATGGTGGCTTTATCTATACCAATCTTTTCATTTGATGGTTATAAACGGATTTGCCTCAACGTCCAGAAACGTGCTTATAAATTATATATTTTATTACATTAAAATGGTAAAACGGATAGCAATGATGCTTCCAACGGCATTATGAATTTCATGCCTATAAAAACTAGAGTGTGTGCATGAGATCAAGAAAAGCATTTTTTGAGTTCTTGGGCACTTTCTCTTCCTCTCAAGTATCTTGCTTCCTGAGTTTAATTTTCCCTCTAAATTATTTCTACTGTTCTGTCACCTTGTTCAATTTTACAGGAGGGTTCCGTTTAATCCTGGGGAGCTCCGACAATTGTGCTAGAATTGCTCTTAAGGACAGTGTCCTTGGGCACGACTTGGAATAAATTTTACATTGCTAATACTTTTATTTTTAAAAAATTATAATTCAAGATTTAGATTTATTTTAATTTAAATCTAACAATAATCTCCTAACAAAATTATTTATCTCTAAATATTTTTTCAAAATTATTCACTTACTCTTAGTTAACTTAATTAATTTTGAGTTAAATTTTTGAGATATTACAGGTTGCCGTCATAACTCTTATTGCTAATTATAATAACCAAAAATATACTTTTAATGGTGACACATGTATGCATCACGTGATGCCACCTCATGCCATGGCAGTCGCCAATTATATGGTAGATGATGTCATATCACTTGCCATCTCGTGCTACGTTACTCACCATATGTGTAGTAGATGATACTACATCATTGATCACCTCGTGTCACATCACACGCCAATGCCATGTCAACCACCACATGCGGCACCCTTCTCAAGCCATGTCACTACGACACGACATATCACATGTTTATTATAAAATATGCCAAAATCAATATTTGAACCCTTAACTTACCAACTCTAAACCTTAAATCTTTTTTTTTTGTTAGTTGAATTGAAATATACTTACAGTTATTATAAGTAAAATTAAATATATATTATTTAACTACATAAACATATATCAAATAATATATTATTAAAAAGCCATATTTTATTTTATTTTTAATTATCAATATGACAAAATAATTTATTTGACTATTTATATTATATTTTTAATAAAATAGTATTTTTTACTAGAAAATATTTTCTTGTTAGGAAAATGAATTTTAAATAAAAAAAATTTTAAATATTAAATAATTTTCTTATAAACATTGTACAAAATTTTAAATTTTATTTTTATTTTTAAATAAGTACATAATTTATATGTAAATATGTATTATATTAGTTTATGTCAAATATCTTTTATTACTTTTATCTTCTCTATATTTTTCTCAAAAATCAATGAATTATATGAATAAATTTTTATCTTCTCTCAAAACAATTAAATGTTTCCCCTTTTGTTATTAAAAATATATATTTGATCTACAATTTTTCAATATCTTAAAAAAATTATTTTAATAAAAAATTAATTTTAAGCACATAAATTTTGTTAATCATTTTAAACAATTTAAATTTTTAATTAATACTAATAACTTTTACTGTAGAAGATTATTATAAGGATATCATATGTGATCAATCTAACTAATCTCTAATTATTCTCTACCTCATTGCAAAGTGAATTTGAATAATTTTTCATATTCTCCCTAGTAATAATTAGTTATAAAAATCTTATTAGTAACTTCTTTTTTTTATAACAATAAAAATCTAAATATATTAGACAGAATCACATGAAATTCTTGTACAAAAGCCATTAGAGCTTAGCAGATGAAATAGATACTATGTATATACCAAGCCAAGTATCCAATGTACAATATGTCAAGTAATCTGTAATGTCATTTGCATCTTGTGATACCTATATAATTTTAACATCTCAAAGTCATTTATATATTTGTGTGTAAGTAACAATTTTTTTTAAAAAAATAAATATACAATTTATGTATAACTCAATCTGATTTAATAATTAAAATTGACACATCTTCATTATTATTCTTTTTGTTTCACAATTCTATATATCATTTATTTTTTATTTTATATATAAAATAAAAATTTAATTTCATTAATAGCTTTTCAATGATTTTATTTAATTTTAAAATATTAAAATAATTCATAAAAAATTCTAATAATTTCAATCATAATTTTATAAATTATATATATTTTTTTTTAAAAAATAATTGTAGTGGTGACAAATATTATCACGAAAAGTAATTATATAAATTACTTTTTTTATAAAACGACAATGTCGCCCTTAAAAATTTTTGTAGCTATAACTTTTAATTGTCGTCAACAAAAATATATTTTTGGCAATAGCTTTTAAACGTTACAATCAAAAATAGACTTGTGACATTTAAAAGTCATTGCTAAAGCTTCATTTTTTATGATGACTTTTGGTGATAACTTTTAATTGTTGTTGTAAGAAGTTTACTTTTAGTGGTAATTTTTTTATTGTTGTGAATGATATATATATATATATATATAATGAATGGAAAGGGCTATACAGATAGTTAGAACAAGTTGATTGGTGGAAGACAAGACATTGGGTGGCTGACATGAAAATTGCAGAATCTCAGAGTCCTTTTGTTGTGTTGTTGGAGTTGGAATGCCTAGCTATTCATTGCACGACAAGTCTTCTTTGCATAATGCATAGCATCATCAGTTAGTCTATCCGCTAATTGATACCTCCAATAGCCATTTACGAAGAGAAACGAGGAATCTGAAGTTGTGGCAAAAGATCAAAAATGTGAAAGCGTCGCATGTTGAGCTTCTTGATGAGAATCATATTACTGTTAGTTTACCCCCTTATCGCGCAGCTTTTAGCTTTGTTGCACGTAGTAATGACGAAACGGGGGCTAGTGTTCTAGAAAAATCGATGGATCAAACGCAGTTCGATGGAAAAGTGAGATTGAGATGTGCACCGAGAGGTGATTTTATTATATGGGTATATATCTGCAGATCAACTAAAGAGGTCTAGGATTCCATATCTTTTGTTTGCATGTTACACGCAGAAATGGGATAGGGTATATATCCAACGACTGGCATTCCCTCTCTGTCCAAAGATATCTCTAATATCTTTCTAATTGGTCCGCTAGATTTGAAGTAATACAGCTATATGTTGCTCCTCTCTTGCCCTTTCGATTCTCTTCTCAACATTATTATTTACTCTCTCCTTTTAGGATCAACAGATGTTACTACATTTTCTCCCTGCACGGCAGTTGGAATTTTAATTTACTGCAATATCAGTGTTAATCATAGATTTGCTTTTATGTAGATGTATTCCACTTTTTCAGTGTAGTTTGTTTTACTTTAACTATGTTACAGAAAAACTATGTTACAGAAAAGGATTGCTGAATGATAAATAAAATAAAATTTAAAGTATATTTTTGATTTTTTAACTTTATATAAAATTTTAATTTAATCCTTTAATTTTATAAAGTATTTTATTTTTCATTTAGGGTATTTAACCCTAACATGATTAGTTTTGAATGATTATTTTTTATGTCAATTATTATTATTTTAAAAAATTTAACCTTAATGTGTTAATATTTGATAATATTTTGTTAATATTTAAAAATTTAATACATAAATTTATTGCGATGAAACTAACAGTATTATTAGAGTTAAAGAATTAAAAAGATATTTTTTATAAAAGTAAAGGACTAAAACAAAATTTTATGTAAAGTTAAAGGATTAAATGTATATTTTAATCAAAAATATATATATAATACAAATTAATTCAGCTAATTAATAAGATGCAATGTGAAACTATTTAATTTGCTCCTTTTCCCTGTGTGGGATTCCTGACTTGTAAATCATATAATTTTTGGATTGGTGATAATCAATCGACAAAAGTTGACGGCTTTTATACAGATAAATAAATAAAGAAATAGTCAGAAAAGGAAAAGGAATGATTGACATATCATATGGCCTTGCATATTTGGCAATATAAGTAAATTATGAGCCTTGCGTGTATGTTATGATTCTCTAATCATAATGTTTAAGCTAAATTATCTTTTATGAGCGTAAGTGAGATTCATTGACTCAGGAAACAATATACAAAACGGATTATATAAAAGGATCAAAAAGAGAAAAACAGAGCTACAAAGGGCCATGATGTAAAAAAGGCATTATTTACAAGTTTCATGACCTTACAAGTACATGGTTAACAAAAGATTAAACAAAACAAAAAGGATCGATGATAGATGTGCCTTCAATTGTCATAAGAACGTTTACATTAGTAAGATTCCATTGTTACCCAAAGTTTGCAGCATAAAATGCCAAAAGTAGCGGCACTAGTTTTGGCCCAGATGCTTCGGATTGAGATTGTTGGGAAGTCAAACAAGCAAGGGTTTGGGAGAGAAGGCACGATCTCTCCTTGAGTTAGACAGGAGGTTCTGGCATGCAGTGGCTATAGGACACTTCAACTTCACAAGTGGTTCCAGATCTCGATGATTTAGCATTATAGCAACTTATCTTTCGAAGACTAGCGATAGGAATTAAGGATCGGACTCTCTGTCACCAAGCCATTTCCAAACGAGGTTCCACGGCAATTGTATGTCCTCGATTGCTGTGCCATTTATGTTCCTCAAGCCTGCTTCTTCATATATATGTTGGGGATTGATTCCAGAAGGGAGAATAATATGTTGACATAGATGCCATTTTTAACTGATTTCTTCATCAACTACAAGTCACTAATAGGTCGATTGAGTTCATTATCTTCATTAATGATTTCGATGAACGTCCCATCAATTCCCCAATAATTAATAATCCAATTATCAGACCAGAAATAAACACGTGCCATCGCCAATTTCCCAGATGATACTTAGGTTATATGTTGCCAAGCTAAATGCACGAACTGATCGAATTGATCTTAACAAGCATTTTAAGAATGCAAACCAGCATTAAACTCAACCACTTGAAAAATAACGAAGTGTCGTTTGCAAAGTTACAAACCTTGGCTCGCTAGGCTAATGGATGGCCACCAGTGACAATTTGTCTATAACTAAAATTTTTATTTGTTATATATAGCTCGATATCTAGATCCAATATGAGTCCGTATACATATACGTAAGATTATAATGAATTTGAAAGCCATCAAGCGGCCCCCATCCGCAACATATATAATTTTAAAAAAGGGGGAAATTAAAGGAGTAATAATAGATTCAAGTTAATCTTCTTCCACCGGTGCCGTTCTCTCTCTGACAGTTGAAATAGACGGCTGCGATGGGAGCCCCGAGATTGTAGAGTTGAGAAAATTGTCTGTTATTGAAGTTCTGGCGCCATGCCGGAGCATACACCGTGTCTCTCCCCAGTTGTCTATACAACACAAACACAAACCGATGTATTCCCATCACCGGTCGTGGACTTTCATATGTTACCACCTCTTGACCTGCACTTCCAAACCATCATCATTCCATCAGAATTATACTGTGAAGGCCGTCAGTGAAGCTCAATTATGGGAATTTATGTACCGAAACTGGCGCCGGTAGTTGCCGGAATATCAGTCACCAACCTGTAGTCCATTTCCAGAGAGGGATCCTTGCGTTAGTTATTCTTACAGACCAAGATATACATGCCAATTATCTACCTAGCAGAACAGAGAAAGCGAAAAGGAACATGTGATTTTGTAAAGAGTATGCGAGGTTTTAAATTTTATAACGTGGGCATGCTTGAGCAGAGGAATAAGGAAGATCAACAGAGAGAGTCACCAATGAAGATATTCCCTCAAATTGGGGTCACTGGGGCTGGGGGCATCAGCGTCCACCATGGCCTGCAATTAGACAGACAGACAGAAAACATACAGTTATATAGTTATGATGATGGTGATGAGGTGAGAGATTTTGGGAGACTTAATTACGAGGGTGTAGAAGTTCCTGAGGTCGTCTCCACCGATAGTAACTCGTGGTTGGTTGACAACATAGGAGGGTCTGAGATCACAGCCATTGTAGATATCTCTATTAGCGTAGGACACTCTCAGATCTTCAACTGAATTGTCGAAGGGATCTAACACGTCCCCCACGATTCGTCCAACAACAAGGGGGTCCCCACCTCAGCTCCAGCTCCAGATCCAACTCTAGGCATTGTATTTGCTCCTTTTCTGTTTCCTTCTTTCTATTTCTTCTTCGCCAACTTCACGCACTTAAATCCTGATCTATATATACGTATATATATGTTGAAGTTGAACTACTTGTTTGCTTGGCCACCCCTTATTTATACTCCGTAGCAGGGACCGACTCACGTTTATGATAGAGGGACGATTGCCCCCACGAACTTAAGAAGAAATTATTCAAAATGATCTTAGATTGTGTTTGAATGGGTGGATTTAAGTTGAAAATTTAGATTTAAAATCTTATATTTGAAATCTCACATTTGAAATTCATAGATTCTAAATTCTTCGTTTGGATGATACAAAAAATTTTAAATTATAATATTAAAATCCTTTGTTTAGATCTAAAGTAAAATTTTAAATTTTAAATTCTATATTTAAATTTAAAAGAAACTTAAAAGATTAGTCAAACTCAACTATTCGAATGGCCAACTTCTAATGGGATCATAAAAACAAAGCTGATTGGGACTGTGGCATTGGGGACGACCTAGATGGGACCTACAACTTCCACTAGGACTGGAGCGTCGCAACAATGGGGACGAGACAGCTAACTACCATTGCGATCGGACCAGCAATGACAACGAGGACAGGATGGTCAACTTCTATCAAGACTAGATGGATGATGATGACGATGACTGAACGTCTAACTTCCATCGAGACTAGACCGACGGCTACAACAAGGACTAAACAGCCGACTTCTATCAGGATCGAATAGAAGATGACAAGGACCGAACGGCCAACTTTCACCAGGATCGGACGACAGCTTCAATAGGGATGAGACAGTCTACTACCACCACAATCAGACCAATAGTGACGATGAGGACCGGATGGCCGACTTACCTTGGCCGGATCAATACTGACGATGGGGATCAAAAGGGCGACTTCCATTGGGACCAAACCAATGTTGATGAGGAGGATCGTATGGCTAACTTTCACCAAGATCGAACTGACTACGAGGATGGGGACTAAATGGCCGACTTCTACCAAGACTAGACCAAACTGACGGCGATAGGGACCAGATGGTTGACTTCTACCAGCACCAAACTGGACCAATGGAGATGGTGACCGGACTAAAGGGATGGTGATGGAAAGCTACCGTTTAGTCCTTGCCTGGTAGAAGTTGGACTTTTAGTCCTTGTCATAGCCTTAGGTTCAGTCCCAATGAAAGTTGACGTTCAATTCCTATCATCGTGATCGATCAAGTCCCAGTAAAAGTTACGCATCTAGTCCCAATGGTCACGTCGATTCAATCCTAGTGGAAGTATGTTGTCCTGTCTCGATCCCGTCAGTTTGGTCATGGTGGAAGTCTGTCATCCTATCTTGGTCATCACTATTGGTCAAGTTAGTCGTCCAATCTTTGTTATCATCATTGATCCAGTCCCAATAAAAGTCAGCCATCCGATCCCTATTATAGTCATTGGTTAGGTTCTAATAGAAGTTAGTCGTTCAGTCTCCATCATTATCGTAGGTCCGATCCTCGTCGTCAGGTCTGGTCCCTAGTAAAAGTCAGCAATTTGGTCCCCATCATCACCATTGGTCTAGTGTTAGTGAAAGTCAACCGTCTGGTCCCCGTCATCACTGTCAATCCTGTTCGGTGAAAGTTGTTTGTTTAGTCCCTGTTGGTCAGTCTCAATGGAAGTCGGCCGTCACATCTCGATCAATGGTGGCAACTTTTTTCATCAACTTTAGTGGTCTGGTCCAATTATTATTGACATGTCGATCAAGTCTTCATGCATTTGGGTCAAATTATAAAAAAGCTTGAGTTAGAATTTAAAATTATAGGGGTTTAGAAATAATTTCAAATTACAAAGAGATTGAAGAAGAACTTGGATTTGGATTTGGTTCAAATTCAAATTCATACATTTTTAGTTATCCAAACAATGAATTTAGCTCAAACCCAAATCCATGTGTATCCAAATGTAGCATTAAATAATTTTAGTTGCACTCTTAAAAAAATTTCAATTGCCCCCTGCTTCAAAAAAAATTCACTTATCCCCTTTTAAAAGTTTACTTATCCCATTATATCAACAAATAAAATGGAAATATGAAATCAAAAGTTCAAAACTTAATAGTAAAAGCAGAAGCACAACAAGACAATTTATGATTGGTATAACTATAGCCCACTTTTGAAAAACATAAGTAAACTGTTGGAGCATCCACTTTATGTCTTTGTAAATAGTATTTTGACCTAAAGAGAAAATAAGAGTTCTTTGTTGAGCTTTAGTACCATGTCACCAAGCTGGATATAGGAATCCGGATGATTTTGCCAAAAGCTATAGATCATAAAAGATTCATAAAATCATATCCATAAAAGATGATATGTGAAAGTTCTGTACCATTCAATGAAATATTCATTAAACAGTAAGGTTTCTTTATTTTTTTGAACTTGCATATATGAAGTTCCCATTATGGCAATTGATGCAATGATGCTCCAATCTTCTTATAATTTGCAAGCTCTACATTTTGTATATGATGACTTAAAGGATCTAAGCTATTAGCATGTTTTCAATTACAAGTAGATATAAGGAACAATAGATCTTGCTTAAAATCCTAAATGAAAGATTCAGCTAATCTTTTCTTATTTTAATAAAGGGTAAGATTCCTAAATAGCTAAATTTTATGAAGTAAGAGGAAAATATTTATTAACAACTCTATTTCTTGGTTTTGATACAAAATCTTCAAAACTTGTAAAATCCATTGACAGAGACCAATCTTTAAAATGGATGTAGATTCAAACTTGTAAAATCCAAACCAAATAACTTTAATGATTGGACATTCATAGAAGAGATTATTTATTATTTCTTGGATGTCACAACTAAGAAGACAGTGCATAGAACAATTCAAATGAAAAGTATATATAACATTACTTGTAGGAATAGCCATGTGAAATAGCTTCTAAATGAACAACAAAGTCTTTTGAGAAAATTGTAATTTTCAAAGAAAATTCCAAATACATTCATGCATAAGGGCAAGCGCTAGCTTAGTGAAACTCTCTTTAGTAGAATAATATCTTATACCCCATATGAATTTATCCTTTTCATTAGTGAATGATATTGGAGTGCTAAGTATACACTTAGCATTTGCTTCATCATACAGTAGAACTATTCCAACAAAAAGCGGTCAAAGAGTTGGGATTTTTAATAATAAGATTAAATACTTTCTGAACATCATAATCCCTTAAAAGATTTGGCTGAATGGGTTTTCAGCAACGAGCATGAGTAATAGAGATGGCTTCTTCATTGCTTATACCATTATCTAAAATTTTGTACGTGTGTGTTTAAACTTAAATAGCAATAGTTTTAAAATGAAAAAGTAAAAATTTAAAAAAGAAATTGTTTATAAAAAATGTTATCACAAAAAATTCTGTACCATACGCAAGAGGCATATTAATTTTATTAAATGAAAATTAAAAACATGATTCTAATTGATATAAAAGTTTTATATAAAGAGATTGTTTTATTTGATTATGATGTTATGTTTTATGCATTTTTGAATATTTATTTTTATTAACTCATACCATTACTATAATTTAATAGATATTTAAAATTATTTATTTTATAAAAATATTAATATTTATTTTAAATATAAATTATGTCCCTATCGATTAATTTTTCTGGGTCCATCGCCGCTCTGTAGTTCAGACCCACTAACTGTCTTCTCGTATGGAACGCAGGGAATATAATGCGATATTTTTATGGCAAAATAATCCAGAAAAGTAAAGTGTGTGTTAACCGCGGTTCTCAAGACGCTATTTGCGTCAAAGATATCACATGGTAACTTCAAAGTAAGATCCATTTATTCAAATCTGTTCACGGTCAATCCGAAACGAACATTATAATGAAACCTATTAGCCGATAGATCTATATTCCCACTGATAATCATGCATGCGCCACATTAAATATTACTTCTTTAATATTTAAAATCCACTTTAGACTTTTTAATTCTCTAAAAAAAAAATCATTTTGTCTTGCATGTGATGTGTGCGGTGACACCTGTAAAGCTTTTTTTTTTTTTTTAACCAACACACTCGTAAAGCTTTTAAGACTTTATAGTTTATTCCACTAAATCAATTGATACTGATTTTCTTTTTTAAAAAAAAAATTATTCCACTGAGAAAGGACAAAAATAGAAGAAGAATGCCGGGCGGATATTATACGTTTCGGGCCCAACCAAACACACACACACACCTATGCCTCATTTTAGGGGGCCCACCACGTGGAAACGTGGCGATGCGTGGGTAGCTGGCATGAAAATAGCAGAATCTGATGGATGATCGCGATCCTGTCATCATTGGGCGAGAACTCGTCTTTGCATAACATCCTCATAAGTTAGTCTGTTGGCTTATTGATTCCTTGAGAAAGGAGGAATCTGAATGAAGTTCTCGCAAAGAGATTAACAATTTGAAAGCGACAACGGTCGAGCATCAATTGTGTTGTGGCCTTCCTCATGGCCTCAGATCAGTGCTGGGCGCGCTCGTACGGCAGAGTTGCTTTATCGGAGAAGGGGAAGGGTCGGTGACCCACTTTCCATATACATTATTCAACTCTATCCGCGAATGTGTCCTCTGAAATTAAAAGTCATGGAAATGCACGTGAGTCTCGAATTCAAGAAATTTAATTTGTTCCCAAATCGATCCTATAATTAGAACATTGCCTCGATCATAATAATTAATGTCCACTGCTGTTGCTCTTCGAGATGTGCAAATATATATTCAACTCACTAGACGGAGAGCCGAGCCAAACGGCCATTTATTTGTCAAATGGAAAAATGAATTATCATGTGCTAAAACTGTTTAGAGTCCAAATGAATATATTATGTTTTACCCAGTAGGAGCAAATCATGCATGAGAGCACCAGGTGCTCATCGTTGTGATAAAATCTGAATGGTTTAAATTTAAAATATTATTTTATATTATATTTATTAAAATAAAAATTTCTAAAAATTATGAAATAATTTTAACACAATTTTAATTTTTAATATGGTCTTATTTAATTTAAAAGATCTAATTTAATATAAATTTTTTATAATTGATATATATATATTGACTATCCAGATTTAATCCAATTACATTCAAAATAAAAAATTTATTAAAAATATTTTATAATTTTATTTTAATAAATATAATATATAATAATACTTTAAGTTTAGACCATTAAAATCAAAATTTGAATCATCTAGATCTTATCACAGTGATGAGTATCGAAACCAGGTCCTGCATGAGAGAGGAAGTCTTGGCATATATTTTCTTGCACAATAAGTTCTAATTATATTCATAAATCATTTCTAATACATTTAATTGGAACAAAAAAAAATCTTAAAACTCATCAATTTTCTCTAAAAATTTATAAATTTTTAACATTGTCTCTATTAAATATACATACTTTTTTTTATCATGAATTAAATATATATATTTTATAATATACTTTCTCTCAATAATATTCAGGGTGATAAGGAAACTTTGCTATGAAACATTAATGTCATTGTTTATAAATAAAACCAAAAAATTCTTCTTTCTCCGTGTTATAAATAGGACAAGAGTGAGTGTAGATTTATAATTTGACATCGTAGGCGTCTTACAAGGATGTCGACTTTGCCGACGATCCAATTGTTTTTAACCACAAATGATGTGAATAATTTATCATTAGCATTCACATTCAAGCATAAAGCATAAACAACAACCCTAGAAACCTGCTTCAACATCACCGCCGTGTATATGGGAGCAACCGAGCAAATAAATCAGCGTTGAAAATTAAAGTAACAACTTGTAGAAGAGGCTGTGAAACTTGTCCATTTCCTTGGGAGGTAAAGCCACCAACACATTGACGCCATCGCCTTCGCCTTCAACGGGAGGAAACAAGAGTATGATATCCTTCCTGTGATTCACCACCGGACAACTATACTTGGCCTTTCCCCATGGATACTCCACCTCTGCAAACCCTAATTTCCACCACGATGACACCAGCACCTCCCCGTTCGGAAACCCGCTGTACATCTCTCCCCAGTCCACCGCCGATCTTGCGTACTCATCTGTTATCCTCCCTGCTCCCTCCCTCACCATCTCCACCACCCTCCCCAGCGGCGCATCTTCTAGCTCTTTCACCCTCGCCGTCGCGTACGCCGTCAGCACCGCGTTCCCTGCGAATGATTTTGGCAGCGGAGGGTTCAGCCTCTCTCGTATGTCCACCGCGTACAGCATGGTCGATGACCGGTCAGGGTCGTCGCCGGCAGATAAGGCCTTGCACCTCCACACATGGGCGGTGATAACGTTGAAGCCGCTAATGCGAGCGGTGGAGGGGCATCCCTCGGCGGATTTGGCCTTGGCCTTGAGAGAGGAGATGTCGTCGGAGGTCAGCCGGAAGATCTTGAAGTCGAGTTCCTCGGAGGAGGCATGGAAGACGCCGGTGTGAGCGTCAGTGTCGGGGAGGCTGGTGCTGAGCTTGAGCAATTCGGGGTGAGGGAAGGTGACACGTGGAGGAGATCGAGCGGCTAGGAGCCGCCTGTCGTGGCAGGGGGTGACAGCCAAGGGCATGTTAGCGGCCAAGGCGGCGAGGTTGTCCAGGAAAGTCTTGAAGCTCAGGCCGTCGAAGGTGGTGTGGCTGGTAGAGAAGCCGATTGCGAAGCCACCGCACTTGAAGGATGTCACCTGCGCTTAAACTCGCCAATATATTAATCATTCCTTAACTTTAATTTGGGAGCTAATCCATTAATTAATATTTTTTCAGAGTTCATTTCATTTGTGTGTGCCCTTGGGCAGGTTAATCAATATCCACTATTGTATTAAAGTGTGAAGGTCCCTCAATACATTATTTCATATTTCTATATTCATTCATAGTATACTTCGGTATGATGCTCTTTTTATATTGTTCAGCAATAACATCAAATTGATTATCGTTAACGATTTTACACATAATGTGGGCTTACAGTGTGGTATAGTATATAGCATCTTACGTACTAATTAAAAGAGTGCTTTATTGCTAATAGATAAAATATAAAAAAGATGTTGTAATTTAGAAATGAATTGATTTGATGTTGATGTAAAATAACCAGATTTTCTTGCGTGGAAGTCAAACTAAATTAATGCTTTTTCAATAGAAAGTGTATATATTATCTATAAATCACACTCACTAGTTAATTAATTACGAAAGTGTGTGTATGTGTATATGTATATGTATATAATATAAAAATTCCTTGCAAGGATGCACATATATACCTACACTAGTTTATAATAAAATATGTGATTTTAGTGTGACATATTTAAGCAGGTAGTGTTTAAATAAAAAGATAGTAATCAATCGCTGTCTATCATAACATAATTTGACTGTATGATAATTGGGTGAGATCAGAAAGAGGCAGAGCATGAACGCTCCCCGGGATACGGGGACAGAAAATCATAAGGAAAGCTATCTTTGATGAGTGAATGAAACTGTAAATGTGGACGAACCTGGACAACGCACAGAGGGTGGTCACCTGGTTCGAGGAAATCCTTGTTCTTATGAACCAACTCTGCAAAACCTGGATTAGGATACACCAAATCTCCTACCTCGTCCAATTTGTTGTCACAGGAAGCCACCACAAACCCTGCTCCTGCGCCATTGCACACTATCTCCAACCTACCTGTCTCACAGTTTATCTTCAACCTTCCAGCGAAGAAATCATAAGCCACCAGAGCTTCGGCCAGTGCCTTCTTCAACCTGTCAGCCACAACGTCGGCCGGAAAATCCTTTCTAGGCCCAAAGAAGTGCACTGTCTCTACGTCGAAGTTTAAGACTCTGTCTATGTTTGATAAGAATAGGGATCTTCCTCGGTTGGTTTTGAAGGACAAACCATCGACGTTTGCTGGATTTTCACATTCAAATCTTGAAGCAGAGGCTGAGCTTCCTGGCGAGGTGACACCATGCTCCTTTTCTTTGAATTGGAATGTGACTAAACAGAAGTGTCTAGACTTTAGTGCTATAGATTTGGCCTTGACCTTACGTGCAGAATATAGTGGGTGTGACCTGGCTACTTATAGCTAGCTTTAATTTATAAGCTTTTCATCTGTTAGAGCAGTGAATGGTTAACAATGTGCCACGAAATCCAAAACCCAGAGGAAGCTGGTGGTTATTAAGGATAATGTGATTTGAAAAAGAGAGAGAAAGTGTGTGTGTTTGATTTTAATTTTGGGGCCACATGCAGCGTGTCTAATTAATTACTCTCTTAGTTTAAGAATATAAAATATTTTTAAAGAGTTATATGTAAAATATTTTTAACTTTTAAAGTATAATTATTATTGTTTTTTTAAAATATCCCTATTAATAATGACTTTATATTTATTATAAGATATTTAATGGAGGTAAATATAAAAAGATAAGGTTATTTAAAAGTAAATAATTACTTCATTGAGGATGAAATTCATTAAAAATACCTTATATTTTTAAACGAGAGAATATTTATTTACAAATAAGTATTTTAAGATGCTTGTGAGTTTCTACATTTGGTACCTAAAAAATTATTTGTTAAAATGTACTTCTTTTAATTCTTTTTATAAGTTATATTTTAAAAAGTTTTCTTAATCCTTTATATAAGTCACTTTTTCTTGATTTTTATAACTTATGTATAATTTCAAAAGTATCCTCCAGCAAATTCTTAAAAAAAAAAAGTGTAACATTTTATTTTTTTAAAAAAAAGAAACCCTTCGTGCTCTTCAAATAACCCTTTTTTAAATGTAAGGATAAAATTGAAAAATAATTTATTTTTAAGATAATTTTATTATTTTAACTAACTCACCTTAATTTTAATGAATTAGTTAAAAGAGACTTATCGAAGTACTAAGCAGGTCATGCACGTGATATATAGATAATGATGTGATCTCCTAAATTAGAAGCATGTTAATCATAATTAAGTTCAAATACGTAGCAATAAGATTTTGGACATCAAATAATTAAGAAACAAGCAGCCATAGATCAGAATAGAAGAATTGTGTTGGGGAATAAAAATAATTAATTGAAAACTAACTTAACTATAACTTGAGAACACTAAATTAAAAGAAGTTTGACTGTAAATTTTTATAAGGGAGAATTATATTAAAATTCTATATAAAAAAATTAATTACTGTAAAATTTATTAACAATTAAATTAAATTGTATTGTATGTCAATATAATTTAATTCAATTATTAATAGACTTTATAATAATTAATTTTTTTTTGTGTGAGATTTGATCCTAATTTTTCCTTTTTACAAAGTAATTTTTCTGTTTTACAAAGTCACTGTCCAGAATTCGAAGTGTTTGTTACCTGACAGATGTTATTTGTTGACAGAGAAGCGTGTCCCCCATCTTTCATGAGGCTGCTAGTTCAGTTAGCCGCCCGCTTGCCGAGCTATTTAAACAGTTGGTAAGTTGGTCCAATTAAAAGCACCATCAAGACAGATTTTGTTCGTGTATGTTTTATTCAACCCTAATTAATTCTTATTTGAATTTATATTTTACAGCTGCGAGGGGGCCACCATACGTATAAATGACGTTGCCTTAATGGCCTTCCATTCTGAAATACTTAGTAATCTACGAGAAAGTCTTGTACTAATCTTAAAAACATATATTATAGATCAAAATTTTCTTATTCTATTAAAAAAAATATGATGAGTTTTACACTTTTTTTAAATGCAAGAAAAGAACTACCCCGGTTCTTTGTTCTCATTTTTGACATTTGAGACCATTTTATTTTTCTGTGGCCGTGTTAAATGGCACTGAAGTATTTTTCATGCAAATATATTCCTTCCGCTTGTTTTTACAAGACACTTCTAAATGCCTTATTAAAATCAATAAGAGATGGTTAAATTATTAATTTTGTTTGAAAATAGAATAAATGTCAAAATTTTATCTTTATTTAAATAACAAATTTTAAAATTGACATTACATTTTCTTTCATAATTAATGAGTTTAAATAATGGTGATATTGAAAATAGCATAATTAACATCTCACTAAGTGCATAATATTAAAGACTAGAAAATTCTTTTAGAAATGCTAAGAACAGAAAGGAGTATGAATCTATATGTAAACAATGAGAAGCCGTTCTACTTAATTAGCCATCATAAAAGACAAGTGTAGTCGAGCTATTTACATATGCGGGGTGACCATCTTGTCACGTCCAAGCATGCTTGTGAGTTTGAAATGGGCAGCATATATTACCGCATTAACGGTAGACTCGGGAAGGTGATTTGCATACCAGGCAATGGCTCCACTCCATTAGGGGTCGATTGTTGTACCACAAGGCCCACATTCAAAGTGCTTCATTGATGATTTTGACGAAGCTGGGTGTTTGCGAATGTGCGAGAGAAATGTGTAAGTACAAGAACCATGTTCATGAGCTTTGCCCACATGACTCATGAGGCCTTCGACATTGGATTGCGCTCTGGATAAAGTGTGAATCGAACCACATTTTCAAGCTTTAATGTCAACGGTTTGCCCATCAAATCGCCTCCTTAACATCAGAAACCAGTCACCTGCCCTCCTGCAGACATCAGCTGCGCTTCTGTCCTCAAGTCAAAACTGCTAGCCTCAATTTTGTCAGCTTGAATGGATTGTCACCAATCACCATCTTGTCAGCTTTTTTTTTTTTTTTCATTAATGGAAACGGTAACAGTTTTACACAGACTAGACTGCATGGTTTGGCATGTTTTAGCAAATGATGCAAAGGTATCGTTTTTACTTGGTTATCCGTTTCCGCATATAGCTAGCCTAACTCTGTCCTCCATTAGAGATCGAATAATACAAATTAGTACTACTTAAGATTATCTACAAACTCTGTATTATGACATGGGATCAGAGGTGGGCACGAGGGAACTGGGAACGCCACCATGCAAACCAGTTGTATAAGTCCAGCAAGAACAAGTGTCAGAAACTCAGAATGTGAGATGAATCATCGGGTCACAGAAATTAATCTTTGGATCAAGACTCTGAATACCAAGAATAGAGCACACAGATGAACTTAATAATGCGCAAATAGCGCTTTTGCATGCTCCAAACTTTTTTATACTGAACTGGATTTTTAGATACTAGAGTATATGTCAGTGTCAGAAGGGATTTTATTGGATGAGCTAGCTCTATGTCAACCACTGCAATTAAGTCGATAGCACAATCTCAATCACCGGTGGAAACAGATCCAACTTATAATATAATGCACAGCTCCAAAGAGGTACAGTTCATTGATCTCCACCACCCGATGGAAGAAAGTTCTGAACAATTGGACCATGCTGAATTCAGATCTCATGCTGTTATAGAGAAGCCAACATCAGCAAATGTTTTTTGCAAAAAAAAAAAAAAAAAGATATCACATGCAGTTTTCCTAGGATACAGAGGAGGCCAGGCGATACTTCTAACATCTTCATGGGAACAAATTTCGCTATACTACAAACAAGGCATTAATGCAATCCAATGCAATGAGACCTGTGCTGAAGTATTTCTTGCATGCACGTAAACCTAATATTTATGTAGGGTGGACTTCATACAGGAATATTATTAGCCCCAGTAGCGTGATTATTAAATACTTGACCTGCAAAAATGTCAGCATCACTCTAAAGAAACTGGAACTAGATGCATATACCTTTGTAATATACAGACCAAACAGAAGGAGTCGCCTCCTTCATGATGTACATGAACTTTGCAAATGAGTGGGATGGAAGGAAGATCAATTTTATTGCTTCCCACACCAATCAATATAGACAGATGGAGGTTTTCAAATTATATCGAACTCAATTAGAGGAAACTTGTTGCAGCATACTACCAAACTCAACTAGTACTAGCACATAAATTGCAGGACAGTGATGAATTATAACTAGATGCTAGAATTCTCCAAACCTAATGCTTCTATGGCCATACCAGAACACCGCAAGTCCTTATCATGAAAAACTAATATATCTGAATTCACCCACCTATAAAACATTTCAGTTCATGTCATAACTGCTTTCTGCAAATCATTTAAGGCCCTTTTGTTTCAGACATGAATATCATTTTAAACTCGACGACCATCACCATATTGACTTCAGAGTTATCAATTTCCAGTTGGCTTGGATAAATTCATTCAACATAAGTTGCTCGAAATTGTAATTTGCTATTAAATTACACTGTTTAGTCTCTTCATTCAGTGATCGTAGATTGATTAAGAACTACGCTTCTCTCAAGTATAAATGCACCTAAGGAGTAAAATTAGTACAAACGATTGACAGAGAACTTGTGGTTTTACTTTTATAAAGTAAGGCCACTGGTCAGTAATCCATCTGAGTTAAAGTAACCGTTTAGAGACAAGATCAGACCATGGAGTCGAAGATTCCAAGACCTTCCGCTCAAAGGTCATGAGGATTTACTAGGACAAGAAAAAATGCCAGAGAGAGTTAAATTCAAATCTCAACTTAAGAATGCATCAGCATATTAAAAAAAATTAAGAAAACATGTGATTTTCAAGTTTCATTCAACCACGCTACGGCAGAAAGTAATAAACGAGTACTTCACCAAATGCATGCATATAAATGCAACCTCAGAGAATTTAACTATTATTAATCATCATTATCAAAAGTCAAAACCTTTCATCAGTACAACGGCCAGTCAACGGGTCGAGTTTCTCTTAAAATGGTGACCTTGTTAAAAGTAACCGCAACAGAAATAAAAATAGGTTAATTGTTTCTAACATGGGCATTTATCAATCAGGAAAAGAATTAACTGAACAAATCAAAATAAAAACCACCAATAAACAATCTGTAAATATCGGAGCACATGATTGATTGATGACTGTGGTTGCAGACAATAGCCATTGGTTGGTTACGTAGAAAGAGAACTATAGGGTACCACACAAGGAATTAGTAGCCTCTCATAGTACATAATCCTGTTGGGTCCCATTACAATACAAGATTGAAATGATGGAGCTGTCATAAACATTCCTTTTACATTCCATGTGATCATGCATTTAGTTAAAAGCCACGAGAATTTTTTTCACGTGTTTTCAGATTCCTATTATTTTGCATTGTCACGAGAGCAAATATCTTAGATAGCTCTGAAGAAGTATTCTTGATCCTAATCATTAAAGAGCCAGAAAAGAAATCTGGACAGCAAAAACAAAGATTTAGAATAGGATGTGAATTCTTACTGCAAGAGAAAACCAAGAATTGAATATATTGTGATGCTTCTCATAAGATGACAAGGAAGTTCAATATAATATCGCATGGGAAAAAAATTAAATCAGGTACCTAAAGAACTGGCAATATACAGGCTTCTAAAAGAAATGTACTGTTTCTTATTGACATCTCATGTTTCACCACCAAATAAAGGTCCTATTTCTGACGTGATGGAATATGCCCACTCTATACACTGTGCAGAGTATCAAGAAAGCAAATAGTCTATTGAAGAATCGGCACCTTAATCTTGTGTCCTATTCAGCCTCAGCTTTAGGTACAGTCACCTTCAATGCAGCTTTTCTCTTTTCTTGAATTTGGTGGACAAATTCAGCAATTACTACATGTAATTTTGGACTAGGCTTACGATGAGTTGGGATGGCATAACCTGCCCTTCTTACTGCACGAATCAAACACCTTTCACCTAATTGGTAATGACTGGAGCATGCAAGAGGAACTGTGGATCTCAATACAGGCTTATTGCATCTAGAAGGTCCAGTTGGCAAACTGCATAGAGAAAAATCCTTATCAGCAATGCTGTCTGTTCTAGAAATGGTATTTAACACAAATAGGAAATCAAGTGTGCAACATTGGGGGCCTCATGCTGGAAACAAATCACAGTACCGCCACCATATTGAACAAGCACGATAGTCTGAAATTCTTAATTACTATTTGAAATGGGCTCCCAAATATAATATTAAACTAGAAGTCTAGAACTAGAAGAGGCAGCATTTTGCATTAGAATGATCAAGTGAATGCTATTTACATACTTGCTTCCATGAATAACGATCAGGCCTGAAACTGAAATGTGCAGATACATTGGTTTTCTGGTGACATCAACTGAAGCAGGCTAACATACCAATCCCAGAAAAATCTTGACCCTTAAAGAGCAGTCTTGGACATTATCAAGAAGGTAGAGTTAAACTTGTGCATCATAATAAGAAATGTGGTTGTTTTTTGATTAACTAACTTGACCATTCATTCCTAAGTGAAAGAATTGCTAAAAGATTTAATGTCTCAGAAGATAAAATGTTACTTAGTCTGGATAGTAATTAGACATGAGAGAATGGAGTTAAGATAACGATTTTAATGCAAAAACCGTCTGAAGGTTCAGGTATGCTAAGAGGAGGATTCAGCCAAGCAACTTTATATGAAACTTCAAAACAAACTATTTGACTTCATTTTACATGAAGGCTTACTGTATAAAAAATGGATTCACCACTGCTGTTTGAATTTATCTTGATTTGGTTCAAGAACTAAAGAAAGATCAGGGCCATACAGTGAGCATAAACAATTTAGTTTGATTGACACCAAGTTTTCTCTCAATATTACAGAGTTTGAGAGCGTGCTCGTTATTGGTATGAGTGACACTTTCAAGAGAAAAGGGGGGAAAGCATGACAACAGCACAAAGGGTGATAGTGGTTCTCTACATAAGAAATGAAACTATAAATTTTAATTAAAAAATAACCAAACAAGCTTTCACCATAGAAATTAGGAAATACTAAGACCAGGAAAACTGAGTCCGGGGTGCCAGACAACAAACTAAAAGCCAAAAAATCTAATTTCTACGATCCTTATACTACAAAGTTGATAGTTGTAAAATTTTTAAAGCAACAACCACCCTGGAAATCACACAGCAGTTTCACAGAATACCAAATAAAGCGAACATTGAATTGTTGCTCAGAACCCCAAATCCTCATGAAACCACAAGTCATAATTAACACAATAGAAATATGACAAAGACAAATATTGTTGATGCATTTGATCTCTTGAACTTTTGATCTGAATGAATCACCTTTTATTCAAATATATATATATATATATGACAAAGACGAAGTCAATCATTTGTCCCTTTGGCGCATTGTAAGATAAGTTGAAGGTTTTGAAACGATTTACAGAAATATACACCTTAAGAAAATCACTCGCGTAAAGCCCAAACCTGTTATGTCACCTAGAGCGCCAACCCATCTATGCTTCTAATTATAAACCTCATCTTGATGATTTCTCTTAAGTCTCTCCAAGCAAGCACAAGACCACCATTAACAACAAAACCCACTAGACATATATCCTCTGTGGCCTTACCTTATATTTTCCACCACCGGGCAACTAATTTTAGAAAGGCATGATAAGGCAACATAACACTGTAGCATATAGTAGAGTTTGAAGGAACTAACAAATTTCGTTCTTTGGTTTCTTCAATAACCGGTCAATAGTTGATAAAATTGCAATGAACCAAATTATTACCACCCAAAATGAAGAATCCCTTTTTTCATTGGTTTCTCTGAGCAATCAGGCATTTGCAACTACCATTGCAGTATATTATTAAAAGAAATAAAGAAGGATTGACTAGGGAGAGAGGGGCTAACTTTTTGGCCACGGCTTTGCATCCCCGATAGAGTTTCTGCTTCGAATCGTACAATATATGGTTATGACAATACCTAGTTAAAGCCATAGCCTTCGACTTGCAGCCGCTAAAAGCGCAACGGACGACATCCTGACCAACCCCACCGTTAGAAGCAACGATTGCTTTTTCATTGCCATTGCTGCAACTTACATTCTCCCCGGATGCCGCGACGCCTTCGGAGTGTTTGGCCTGATTGTTCTTGTGATCCTCCACAAAAGGGCTCATGCCGTAAGTCCAATAGTACTCTTTGTACTTGACCTTGAGCTCCTCCATTAGCGCCCAGTAGTGGTCTCTGTAGAAGCGGGCTAATTGCTTGATTCGGCGGAGTCGGCGCCTGAGCACTTCCTCGCGCGTCAGATACTGCGAATTGGCCAAGACCGAATCTTGCTCGGCGCCATCGATAGTAATAGCAGCGGGTGGTGCAGAGGATGGAGAACCCAGCTCGTCCATGACTGAGACGCCGGAAAATCAGCAGTAACAGAAAAAAATTGACTGAATCGCTAGCGAGCTCGTGTTGATTATCTCGAACTTTGAATCCTACAACCTGCTCCCGAGGAGAAAATACGAAGAAAGATGGAATTTTATTAGTTATTGATTAATAGTGACGATTTCTTTCTTTTTCCAGTTTATGGCCTTTTTATTTTAATTTGTTCTTTGTTTATGGCTTATTAAAAGTTTAAAAAGCCAGCAAGCAATTTACCATGAGTCCATGACCAGTCGTCAAGCGATTATAGCCACGTGAAATTTTTTTTTTTTTGGGCCAACGGATCCTTTTCCGTGGATTAAACATTAGAGTCGGTTTCAATTTTCATCGCCAAAAATTTACAACAAGAAAAAACATTCAAGGAAAAAAAAATATCATAATTCGTTATCATCCGCTCTTTTTAAAAGTTTTACGAGTATACATTTTAGAAGATAGTTTTACCAATTACAATAATGCTTATCTCTTCGTTAATGTCATGAATATTGCATGCTAGCCAGAAGATAGTTTACTAATTTTAATAACTCTCATCTCCACGTTTATATCATGGTTCATATCATAGATGTTACTATATGCTAGCCAATCAGCACAAGCGTCACTGCCCAGTTTAAATATCAAAGCAATTCTTCAAATACATCCTAAAAAAAAAAACAGAGAGAAAGAAAACGACCCTTCTTGCAAATATTTGTTCAAGTTTTTAAAAATTATAACAATTTAAAAATTAAAAATTTTAATTATATTGAGAAGTTATCATAAATAGTATTTGCAAATAAACAAATAAGAAAGAGTGCTACTGAAACTATGTAAATATAATTAATGAATGTCATGAGATGTGGAAATTACGAAAAACTTGTTAATTTGGCTATAACAATCAAGAAATGATTTAATGTTTAGAATTTTTTAAATTTGATGAGTTTTCTCCATCGTAATTCTACACGAGGATATCTTCTTGATATGATAAAAAAAATATGAATTTCATTATTTTCAAATCTTAAATGAATATCTCAAAATTTCTTTAAAATAATGTTACTTTGTTTAAAAAAGTAATGTTTTCGTGAAACCAGATAGAAATATTTGGAGATATAGATAGTTGATTATCTGTAATTAGCTGGAGCAGGATCTTCATCTTCAACGCTCATAATTCACGTGATCTCGGTCACTGCCGTGTGTTTTTTTTTTTTTTTACTTATATATATACCTATGAGTGTAATTTATTTATAAGAGTGCAAATTTATTGATGGTAAAAGGACAATACTACCTTAATCTTAAATTATAATATATTTTTTGGGATGACTTGATATTTTAAAAAATAAAGTTATATTAATAATGCTATTTTAATATATTTTTTATATATATTCTCGTTATTTAATATTTTTTTACTAATAAAAATTTAAATGATGACAAATATTTTAAAAATTATATTTTTATTTTAAAATAAAAATATAAAATATATTTAATAAATTTTATTAATATGTATGATTTTATGTAAAAATATATTATAAAAGAAAAGTAACACATAAATCTTCAAAGAATCTGTCAGACAAGAGAAACGTGAAGGTGTGGCTTTTATTTTTTGCCCCCCAAAAATCACGGTTTAGATTCCCATAATTGATGATTACAAATGCCTACCCAAACAGGCACAAATACGCGGTCAAGCATGATGACTAACATACACGTAGTTTTAACATTAAATTATCTTCTTTTTATTTTCTTTTTTCCTGAAGACTCATTTTGCCCTCTAAACTACTGTCATGGATTCATAACTATGCTCTTCAATAAAGGCTTTTCATTTAAACCAGAAAAATTAAATGCCTGTAAATATATTTTTTAGTTTTGTTTTTTATGTTTTAGACTTAATTGCAAATCCTCGTGGGTACAGAAGGGGGCAAAACACGCCCAGATCGATAGGTTTTAAAAATACATATTAATCTGCATTATTAAAATTTAATCTAAACAATTTAGAGATCTGTAGTGAAGGAATAATGGAGAAAAAACCAGGTGGAGAGAACCCAAGTGTGTATGTTCATGCTTTTATTTTTATTTACAATAAGTAATGGCCATGTGTTAACAAGACAAATAAGCCATCTAAATTAAATACTACTCCTTTAATGTTTTTTATAAATTATTTCTATTAATTTTATCAACACCAATTAAAAAAATAAAATGAATAAAAGCACGTAAAATTTTAAATATACCTCTGTATAATAATTTTAAAAAATGATATTATATTACTTTTTTTAAGGATAATTTAAAAATATTACCTAAAAAGTTACATAATAACTCAAATGAAACTAAATGAATTTTTTAAAATGCATCTAATAATTAGAGCTGGAGGGGTGTTTTCAATAAGTAAAGACAAGCGCTCGGAATACGCATACCAGCAAGCTCTGCGTAAATCGCAATCACTAAAATCACGCATGCGGACGGTTAAAAACTTTTGATAATCTCTTCGCATATGCTAGCATAGAGTACAACTCAAGGCCACCAAAAATCACGCTTCCATTGGTAATATTGTTGAACTGAGCGGTTAAAAAACACGACGCTTACAAAACGAAGAATTCTCTTTTAATTATGGAAGAATTTAATATAGGACCCTCACAAACAGTGACGGGATCTTAAGCCAAAAAGAGCGAAATCATTTACGTATTTATAACTCAAAAAAATAAAAATTATTTAATGATTACATATCTTATAAATTTTACTTACGTGGTTTCATGTTTGGAAGTCGTTAAACAATCAATTCATTGTCAATACTTTTAAATATATCTTTTTTAGTATAAGTTACGAGATAATCATTTATTCATAGATTCTTCATTCAATTGTGCAACCAAATTTGTATAAACTTTATAACAGAAAAGGCTCTTTCAACTATTGCTGTAACAATAAGTAACAACACTATTGCTAATGTCAAAAGAAGGTAAACTAATAAATAAATAATGTGTCTTTCAGTTTCAACTAATTTTTCATCAATTTGTTTTGAGATTTCAAACGATGTGGGCAAGATTATTTTTTTTCTTATTTTCTTAAAGTTTAATAAATGTTAATTTTTTATAAAATAATATTACTATTTGGGTATATTGAAATTGTGGACTAAAGTTTATTGGGCTTTTGAGTTAAAAAAATTACTTTTGAATTTGAGTTAAAAAATAATATGAAATAATTTAAAATGCAAACTATAAAAAAGATGGGGTACAAGATATAAATACCTATACCCTCATTTCTATGTAAGTAATTTTTTTCATTTGTACCCCCTCAAATACATGTGGCTTCGCCACTGCTCAGAAACAATATACTATTTGCATGAGGGTTAAAAGGAATTTAAAATTTCTCTATTGGCCTAAAGGCCCTTCATGAAAATAAAAATTTCACAAAAATGCCATAAAGGGCCTTGCCTTTTTAAAAAAATAGTGTTACCATTATTGGGGCCACTATGACAATTATTGGAGTCCCGTCGCCAATAAGAAAGCCGCCGCCACCGATGATTGGAGACCCTATAGTAAAATTTGGTCAAAGGGACAAAGCGGTCAGGGGAGGATTTGAACCCCTAATCCCTTGATGCTACAAAAAAATATGAGTTGTTCATATTCAAACAATCACTTGTTCATATATAAAAATGTTGTTAGTTTTTAAAACTTAATTTGTTCAATTTTTTAATGACTTGTTTATTTAATATTGACATGTTATTAATGTAACACTAAATAATATGTGTGTGTTATAAATTTATTTTTTAAGCATTTTCATAGGTTGTGGTTAATCATGAACATATTATTATTTATGTTAGGAACAATTACTTATAAATACTCAAACATAACTTGCCCATGTATAAAAAATGTTGCCAATTTTTTAAACTCAACTTTTTTTTTAAGAATTTGTTCATTTAATATTGACAGGCGAATAAATCATGGATATGTTGTTACTTATGTTAAAACAATTACTTGTAAATACTTGAATATAACTTATTCATCCATTAAAAAGCTGTCAAATTTGTAAACCCGACTTTTCATTATTTTTAACAATAGTTCCTTTAATGTTGAAATGTTATCAAATTGTACTTAATAACGAACACATTATTGTTTGAGTTAGAACAGTTATTTGTAAATATTGAATGAACAAATTCTTAAGAAAACCAAAAAATTGAGTTTAAAAATTGACAACTTTTTTTTATGCACAGACAAATTATGTTTGAATATTTACTAGTCATTATTTTTACACGAACAATAATATGTTCATGGTTAACCACAACTCATGAAAATGTTTTAAAAATACATTTATAACATATATATATATATATATAGTATAATATTAATAACTTGTTAATACTAAAGGAACAAGTTGTTAGAAAAAATTAAACATGTTGAGTTTTAAAAATTGATAGCTTTTTTATATGTATATGAATAAGTTATGTTTCAGGTATTTATAGGCGATGGATGGTTCAGACATAAACAATGACAAGTCCATGATTAACAATAATTCATATTAATGCTCGAAAACAAAAGTCATAACATATATATTATATTTTATAATGTATTATTATATGGCTTTGGTAGTTCATTGGTAAAATGTTTCTTGTAACACCAAGGGATTAAGAGATTCAAATCCTCTCTTAGCCCCCCAGTCCGTTTGATTGGATTTGATTGTTAGTGCTGACACTGGAGCTTCAGCCATCGATGATGGTGGCCTCCTTTATAACACACCAAATTTTTTTTAAATAATTTAACTCAACTATAGTTGGGTTACAGCCACCCAACACATTTTTATATCAATAATTTCAATATAAAATATTTTATAATTGGTTTCAACTCACACACTATAACATTTCAAATAAATTTTTACCTCTCACATGCCATTAGGCTAAATCACATTTGTCCATCCTTATACTCTCAACAAGTAAACTAAATCACATTTGTCCATCCTTATACTCCCAATAAGTAAAATAAACAATTTAGTAAATTTTCAACACAAGCCAATTATTTGGCCTTATAATCATGCCATTTTAACCAATCCAAAGTAAACCAAATATTAAAACTGCAATCATCCAAATTGTACCAAAAATAGAAATAGTTTGAAAGGCATGATTACATTTATATATTTATATAATTGACAATAAATAAAAAGCCCTAAT